GTATAAATAAGTATTTATATTTGTGTACAACCTGTTTAGATTGTCAAAAATCCTGTGTTTTTAGGGTTATTAACAAAGTTTGTGTACTCAGACCAGTAATATTTGGGGTCACAAGTTTTTGCCAAGGATATTTTGTGGGTCAGAAGACAAAAAGTTTGGGAACCACTGCTTAAGACTATCTAAAAAATTCCAATAAAATGTGAACCTTTTAAGTATAAAGATAATTTTATAAAAGTTGGTTCGAGACTTTTTCACCTTACAGAATTTATAAACATTTCATCCATTGAAACGTTCATACCGGTTTTCAGAGGATCTTCCTGTATTAAAAATAGATGTAAATATGGAAATGTAAATATGACCTACACATTTATTTATTACAACTTCAAATACAAAAGCCAAAGATGTTCAATAAAGTCATGCTCTTTACCAAGGCTAAATTTATTGACATGTTTTATCCACCAAGTTCCACTAATAAAGACTATAATCACAGTACACAGCAGGTTTTCCTCCCTTCTGTGGCATCGGGGCAGATATATTGTATAAAACTATCTTTAAATACGTGGTTAAATTTTAATTCTGCTCTTTCCTAACATGGTGTCACTATGAATGAATGTTTAAAAGTGTTAAAATTAGTGGAATAAAGTGTAGTTTACAGGTTTTTCTGTAGGTGACTGATTTATGCTATGCTCTGTTTAGAGTATTTAAATCAAAAATAATTAATTTAAGCCTTTATTTATAACTTATTTTTATTTGCTGTTTGATACCAGAGGTGTTTGCTGTCATAGGATTACAGCTTTGCATTTGTGTCACTGCGCTGTTTCCAGGTGTTTGACGATGCTGACGAGTTAAAAGAAAAGGTCAAGCACCTCGCCGAGGCGTTCAGGGAAGCAAAGCACCTGGTGGTTTACACTGGAGCTGGTATCAGCACGGTACGCCTAACCCCACCTCTTAATTGTCTTTGTTCTTCGTACACCCTCACAGCGCTGATGGTGTCTCTTATTTTAGGCAGCTTCCATCCCAGATTACAGAGGTCCGAATGGGGTGTGGACCCAGCTGCAGAAGGGAAGGACCGTAAGGTGAGAGATGTAATATTTATCAAAATGTGATTAAACTAAAAAAGAATTCCTGAATCTAACTTATTATTTTTTTCTTGTTTTTACATTCAGCTCCTCAGACTTGAGTAAAGCTGAACCAACACTCACACACATGGCCATCAGAACGCTACAAAAGGAGAAACTGGTGTGTGAGACATTTATAGATCAGGTGTATGAGTCGTTTATAATTTACAGCAGCGTTTAAACATGTTCTGTTTGTGTTTGGTAATCAAGGTGAAGCACGTTGTGTCACAAAACTGTGATGGACTTCACCTGCGAAGTGGTTTACCTAGACATGCCCTGTCTGAGCTCCATGGAAACATGTTCATTGAGGTACAACAAATCTATATCCATTCCTATTTCCTGTTTTTTTTTTCTTTATGTCTTCTTTTACCTATTGTCATAATTAGAAATAGTCCACCTTCCTGACAAATCAGGATATTGTTAAGCTTTGTCTCTTAAAGAAGTTGAGAAAATACTTTTTTTTTTTCTGCCGACATTTCTTGAGTGCACTGGTTCAGTTCTGCTTTTTGACTTCAGTAATTCTTTATGCTAAATGCTGCATGAATCCAGCTGACAACCAGGCATGCAACCCCAGCTTAGCCTGTTAGCCTTTGCGCTAGTGCCCACGCTATATTGCCTTATATGTATTAGCTCGGCGCTAGCGCGACAAACAAGCTAAACTGAGGTCCTCCGTCCATATTTTCAGTTACAGGCTGAGTCATTTTTTTGTTTCCCTCTCTGTCATGTGGATGGAGGACCTCAGTGACGAGAGGAGAATGTGTAGCGCTGAGCTGATACATATATATGGTGAAAGCATCAGGGCTAACGCTAAAGCTAACAGGCTAAGCTGAGGTTCTTCTTCCATGAAGCAGCTCTGTTGTCCTCCATCCATATTTTCAGTTCCAGGCTGAGTCATTTCTACCTTCTCCTCTCTGTCAACGCTCTCTGGTTTCATTTAAAAGAGTCGATCATCAGATATTGTCCAAGATTAACCTTCAGGGTGGATATAACTCGCTAGCAGCCTCGCACCGAGGACCTATCCACGTCATCATTTACCCAGAATGCTTTGTGTATAAATAAAATGGCCCCATCCGTGTAATATATTTTTAAACTTTTAGTTTAAAATTTATAAAAACTGAACATCCTACAGTATTTTTACAGTCTTTATTGTACAGTTAAATTATATGTTTATCATATAAAGTCTAATGTTACAACTAATCGGGGATCCCTTGAAGTTTCAAATAACCCAAAATATCAGCCTCTCCCCAGCCTGAGGGGCTGTTAACCTGCCCTGCTGAAAGTACAAAATAAACCAAGAGGAATAACTTTGGTCAAAGTGACATTCAGATGCATAAAAATAATCCATCTTGATTAAAATCTCGCTGGATGTGTCAGGTCAAAACTTATAAGACTTCAGCATCATCAAAAAAGGGGATAAGATTAAACAGGATGGAATATTAGTATAATTCGGTGATTTAATATGAATCACTGAACTTATTAGCTACATTAGCATATCTGATAATTCTGCTACCAACAAACACTGTTTTCTGATGGTAAACTAACAAAACTTATAGACAGTTGTCTTCAGCACAAAGGGATCCATCACTGAAAGTAATATTTATGACACTTCAACCTGACAAACAAGCTAACTTTATGAAACTTGCCATCATAGGATGGCTGCATGTTAGCATCTCATGCTGTCATCATGTTTTTACTGCTGCTGTCCTGCCGTGGATTAACTGAGCCTGCATTTTACTTTCTTTGGTTGATTTTCAGTAAAATGTAGCCAACTTAGGAAAGCTTAAGTCCCGTTTTTTTTTTTGTTTTCCCTCTTTGACGCGATCGTCTCTCTGTTCCACCGTTATCGCTCTTTGATTTACCCGCGTCTTCTGTGGTTTACAGAGCGGCACGCCATGTTCTTTTGCAAACAAAGCAACCGCAGACAATAGAAGTGATTCTGCCCCCAGCAGTTCATAAATTGCATTGCAGTTAGAAATGAACGGCACAGTGAGTATCTGTAGCCCTATATACAGAACCACTGACTGATTACAAGACTGTAGATACCTGTGATGATAGTGGACACACCTTGATTTAACATGACCCTTTGGTCACATTATTCTCAGAGGTACCATCATTTCTCTTCTGTTTCATGAGTTTTATTTTTAAAATACCSTAATTCCATTGAAGCATGGTTGAAAAGCAGCGTTTTTAAATAATTTTATTTATTATTACTTTTGTCCGATTCAAGTTATTTCTGTGACCATTGTGGGTTTTTCTTTCATTGAACGAGGGGCACCAACAATTTGGTCCACGTGTGTATGATGTTCCTACTCGCAGCCCTGACTTCCACAGACAGATTTGATCATGTGCAGTCTGATATTTTTTAAAAACAAACCCTGAAATTCATGCGCACTGTTTCTGCGAAACTAATTAGTTAGGTTTGCATTTACAGGTGTGCACAACTTGTTCACCGGTCAGGGAGTTTGTGCGTTTGTTTGACGTGACGGAACGGACATCGCTGCACCGCCACGCCACGGGACGCAGATGCAGCCACTGCGGGGCCGAACTGAGGGACACAATAGTGCACTTTGGGGAACGTGGGACCTTGGAGCAACCTCTGAACTGGAAGGGAGCAGCAGAGGCTGCTGACGAGGCAGACGTTATACTCTGCTTAGGCTCCAGTCTGAAGGCATGTTTCATTAAACACAGCAAGTCTGTTGTGACAGTTTTGAGAAATTCACAAATTATCATAATTAATGCAGATCTGTTCAGATTTATGATTATATTTATAAATGCAAGATGCCTAATTGTCTTAGAAAATAATTGTGTTTTATGTAAAACATCTGACATGCATTTGTTGTCCTATCTTTCTCTGTGCTCTGACCTCTTCCAGGTGCTGAAGAAGTATGCTTGTCTGTGGTCCATGAACAGACCTGCCAATAAAAGGCCCAAACTCTACATCGTTAACCTCCAGGTACGTTTCATTAGGTCACTTTTTGCAAGTAGAGCATGTTTTAAATTCTTCATGCCCTGTGCCTGATCTTGTGGATTTATCATTTTTCTAGTGGACCCCAAAAGATGATCTGGCTGCGCTGAAAATTCATGGCAGATGCGATGATGTCATCAGTCTCCTTATGGAGGAGCTGAAGCTTCAGATTCCTGATTATGAAAGGTAAGCACTGTGTCAAACAATAAGAATGTGTGTAATCTGTTAATAATTACTATATGTATATATACTATTTATACACCAAATTTCAAATCAATATCTGTAAAAGTAACAGAGGTGTAGCATTTTTTTGTTTTTAAAATTTGTTGGCTGTGGCAGACATCTTGATTTGACTCTGAAAGTTAATCAGCTACATCCATTGATTGTTTGTTGCATGATTAAGATCCATCCAGTGGTTCATTAGATACTTTGATAACAAAGACACACACACTCTTGTTTCTTTATACTTGTGTTGGGTTTGCATTGATTTCCATAACTAGGAATGTGCGATATAAAAGATATACGGTAGAAACGATATAAATTTGGCCTATGGTAGAGATCTGTAGTCTAGTGGCCAGCCGTGGTAATTCTTTTTGATGATGTAACCGGCTGGAGTCAAAACAGAGGAAGCTGGAAGCAGCGTGGCTGAGAGCGCAAATGAAGAAAAAAAAGTTGAATAAATTATCCGGACCTGGTTCGGGTGTGTGAAAATGAACGCTGAACTGTTTACATATTTACGTGACGGCGCATCGTCCGGTCCGCTGCTGAGCGACCGCAGTGCCTGCAGCGGGAGGAGCGCGGCACGTCACGGTCACGCAGCGAGGCGACTGTCAGTGCGAGATCCAGTGGGACGCACAAAAGCTCGCTGAGTCTAATGGACCTCGTTTCTCCTGCAGTCATAGCGTCGTGCTGTCTCAAGTCGTACTGCGGGAAAGCGCTGTGGGAAAGGGTGACGGTCTGACTGTCTTTCAAAAAAAACAACTAATAAATAAGATAAAAACCTGTAAAGCAAACGGGATGATTGTCACCCCGCCGGAGCGCGCACAGATTAAACATGTGGAGTGCAGAAAAACTAATCTGCACAGTGTGTAGACAGGAATAAATACAAGCAATTTGCTTTACCACCTTAAAACGAAAATATACTGTATATGTATATGTATGTGTGTGTGTATATATATATAT